AGCTGCGCATTTTTTGCAGGTTTGGGTGATTATGTCAACGGATATTGCAACAGCGGAGAGTGTTTCGTGAGGAATCGTCAGGAAAAACAAGAAGCAGCACAAAGAGATTGAAAAGGAAGAAATGCGATGCATTTTTCCTATGCTTTTGGTTTTCTTGCTAATACCAAGTGAGGTGTGTATGGTTCTAAAAATGGAATCTGGTTTGCAGAAAAGTATATAGAGGAAGCTTCCTGGATTTGTAGTACTTGTTCTCTTTTTTCTTCTGCTTCCTTGTTAACTGATCACGCAATCTATTCTACTAGTTAACTGGTGTACTGATGTGTCAGTTTCTTCTTTTTTAACAATGCCGTATTCTATTTTAAACTGCTTTAATTAACGGAAAGCCGGATTCAATCTCGAGTCGGGAGGGCCGAGCATGTTGTCGTACTCAACTGGTCTAATCAACATACGCGTCGGTTTTTTAACCTTTGCATTGGATTACTTCGATGAAGCAACTTTGGAGCAACCCCAACAGACTTGCCAAATGGAATGGTGTTTGTTACTAAGTACGAAAAACTGCATAGGATAAACTAGTTGCTACAGACTCTTCAACACAACTCACCAAATTTGGGACCTTGAGTTCGCTTTCTATATATCTATGGACTCTTCACCATATTCCACAAACATTCTTTTTATTATAATAACGTGCCTTGTCCACCATCTCCCTCAATTAATCCAATAACAAAATAAACGTGAGACCAAGTTATCTCATTTTGGATAGAAAATAATATAATATTAAAAAAAATTCGTCTATAAAAGTTCATAATTGTGATGTGGGAAATTTTAGTCTTCAAACTGCTATTTCGGTCAACAAACTTATACTAAATAATTACATTTATGCAGGATATCAATGATACTCACAAGTCAATCATGCATATGTCATGCAAGCATAAATCTGGGCTTCTCTTGAGGGGTTTCAAATGTGGGATAAGCCATGCCCAAGTAAGAGGTTCTATTAAAAGATTTTACTAGCCTTCATACACGTGCGTCAAGATTTTACCAGCCTTCATGCACATGCTCATGCATGTGCAGAATGCATTTTTTGAACCATAGCGTGCTATGCTCGACTTACACGTTTGAAATGTATTTATATGCGTGAATTTCTTCAATAATTTTTTTTATGACAAAAAGAAAGTCAAATATTTGAAGTAAATGAATAACATTTGACCATACTAGAATAAACACCTCATAAACCAATCAAAGCAGCTTAATCCATATAATAAAACCATCTACATTCTATTGAATTTACATTAAGAATAGAGAAAATAATATTTAATAAACAACTGATTGAATTACATTATTGCTAACACATTGTAAGGCTAAGCCCACCCCTACCCCTTAGTGTAGAAAACGTCGTTTATTAAAAAAAAAAAAAAAAAAAAGATCATTTGATAACTAATTGAATCACATGATTATGCGTGTGCGAAAAGCCTTTTTTTATAACTAGCACTATGTGCCTCTTAAGTGTTTAAAAATAGAGAAAATAATATTTAATAAACAATTGATTAAATCACATTATTGCTATCCCAATGTGAGACTAAGTTCACCTCATCTCCCTTAGTGTAGATAATATTGTTTGTTCAAAGAAAAAAAAACAATCATTTGACAACTAATCGAATCACATTATTATGCGTGTGCGAAAAACCTTTCTTATAACCAGCACTACGGGCCTCTTAAGATGTTTTGAACGTGTTTAAAAATAGAGAAAATATTATTTGGTAAACAACTGATTGAATCACATTATTACTAGCCCATTGCAAGGTACTAATTATTAAAAATAAATAAAAATAAAATCGTACAGGAAAAAGTTAAATATTAAAAACATTATTTATCATTGTACACTAAATATTAAAATATTAAAAAAATGTTTATCACTGTACATTGGATAGTAAAATATTAAAAACACTGTTTATATGACAAAAATACCCCTGCCACATTTGATGCATTATTTCAGGCTGCTTTTGAATTTTTTTTTTGTTTAGGGGGCATTTTTGTCCTTTTATTGTGAAGCATGTGACCCTAAAAAAATATTGTTCACAGCAGTGTTGGCTTTATATATAGAGATATGTAAATGGGTTGACAAATATGAACATACCATTTAAATTTGACACCTATGAAGTGTTGTAAGTGAGGAACATGTAGTGCAAATTTTTAAAAATCTCCAACCTCTTGTAAGATATTGATAGAATAGAATTCACATTAAAGACTCGACTTAACAAGGTTTGATCACTTTATAGAAAGAAGTTGAGGTTTCACTTCAAAATTAATTGAAAATTGGAGGAGCAACTCAACTTCTTATAAGCCTTTGCAAAGTTTCTTGATTCTCCTATGTTCAGTTTTGCCTTTTACATTCACATTATGTTAGAAATGTGCTATAAAAGCCAATCATAAGATGATACATTACGAACATTTTGCATATTAAACTAATTTAGTTTAATATAAGGGCAAATATTATTGTTTAAAGCTGTCTCATTAAATGGTATACACCTAAACAATAAGCCTAAAGAATATGTGATAGAGAGAATGTAATGTAACAAAGTTAGATTCATGAGACCTTTCTTTCTCAAGCACATATCCTAAACGTTCCTGATCATATGATCGCTAATTGGGGACTAATAATCAGGTAAGATAATATCATACTATGTCTTTTCTCTTCAAAGAGTGACTAGTCTCGAATCATTGATGTAAAAGTCACCATGGCAAGTTTGTAGGTGCTCAATAGAGAATGAGTTCAATGAACTCCATCAAAGAGGAGTTCTTATACTCATGTCATATGAGAACTCACTAGTTGAAACAATAAAAAGTAGTCATTTGAATCGAGACACCACAATTGTCTTGTGGGTACGTCTTTGGTCATTTGATGATACGTCATAACCCCAAGGTTTGCTCCCCGCATTGTTGAGATGAAGAGATACCAAAAACTCTCATCTCCTTTCACCATAGCGCCCCCTAGGAGGAAGTTCACTAGCATGAATCTTCCTCCTAGATTACTCATCTCCTCTTCACATCTCTTGCCTTGTTATGGAGAAATTAGAGGTTTCCTCCCTTGGGAACTTTGGAGAGTTTATTCATCATGGATCCATGGAGAAAGAAGCAAAAGAATGAAGGGCCTCTCTTGGGTGATTAGCATTTACCCATGCAAATAGGAATCTACTATCATGAATTCTCAACTATTTCTTGTAGATCTGAATTGAGTCTTGGTTCACCACACTAGTAGCCTTTGAATATCATGGTTAAGATTTGTTTTTAAGTGCATATGAACATGCTTCCGCCTTTCAATTGTTAATTAGATCTATGTATGTTACTCAAATGATCTTAATTTAGCCAATTTTTTCCCTCAACAATCTCATACGCCTTCTTACATGTGACAAATTTTTAAGGCCAACATGCGGCCAATTTTAATTGAGTGACGGTTTAATATGTGGGCAAACCTTCCACTCCAAAACCAATTAGCAAATAGCAATCAAGACAGTGATGCAACATTCATTTTATTATCTCGCCATCCACACGTCTAAGCTTTTTCTCCTCTATTAGTTTTCAATTTTACAATTTGCATATTTTGTTTGTAGTTGGAGGATTTTCTTTTCAAAATAAGCATGTGAGAACATTTTTCATATCACGTCTTTTTATTTTCCATTTTTCATAGTGACCCTAAACCCTAAAACTAACTCGTAACATTTTGAAATTTCATATAAAAATTATTGTGTGATATTGGGAGGATTTTCCAGCATATGTAGCAAATAATTGTGCAGTTGATATGGGTTTCGTTTGTTTTATGAGGATAAGGTGTGGATAGAGGAAGGAAGACCCTTTGTGGTTTCTTTCTCTTCTTCCCAACCTGATGATCTCATTTCATATCTAGATGATGTCTTTTTCGATAAAAAAAAGTTGTGTGCGAGGGCGACATGGGCGATATCGATCTGTCGCTACAAAAGATAAGTCCATGGTGTGACTTCACACCCAGTTCACATGCATGCGTGTATTGGAATATCGATCTAATTCAAAACTAAAAAGAAAAAAATTATTTATTATTTGATAAGAATTCTTCTAGCCAATCATATGGAGAATGAGCATTAACATGGCCTAAATTAAGAAAAGGTGAAGGTTCCGATCAGTTGCTTAATTTAAAGAAAATGTTAAGGAAACCATATTTATTGATCACTTGACGTGACTGCTGTGATGGTTATGCCACATTATTAAACTAGGTTTTTTAAATGCATAATTAAAACCTAAATGTTTCTTGCTCATCAACTTGACATGGCTTCTTTTGAAAGAAGTATGATATTCATTAAAACAACTTAGAATACGTACGAACTGATGATAGTCTGCTTACTAGGCCTTGATAAAAACTTTGCCGAGGATTTCAACCAGATCTAAGGAAAAGAGTGTTCCACACAACAGTAGATCTATCCTCAAATGAATAATATAAATTGAGATTACATGGCTTCTTGCACATTCTTTACTGAAAAAAGAAAAGCTAGACTTTTGCCTCTTTAAGACATTCGTACTATCTCTACCTTTGCACATATCTATAGCAACCTTTGTGTTTGGTTTGGTAAATTTCCTCATGTAATAGTTTTGACAAGTTGATTATTCGATCCGTCGAGAATTCTCTTTGTAAATTTCCTTTTTTTTCCCTTAAAATTACAAATAAAACAGAGCCGATTTTAGATACTTACGAAAAAAATGTGTTAATATTGGAGTTAGCACAAATGGTGAAGGAGAGAAACTGATCCCTAAAATCTCCCGCAGCAAAGGCAAAGTCATTTTTTGTTGAACAGTTTGCTAATGTTAGTTATAATCTTTGGTGAGTTGGAATGTGGTCAACCGGAGAAATTTTTGTTTTCGCCGGGAACTTGTTCTCAGAGAAGTGCGTTATGATTAGGTTCGGTTATAATTAGAGCAACAAATAAACATTTTTTTCAAGCACGTACGTCGTAAATACTTGATAAAAGAATATATACAAAAAGAAATTAGTGGCTACTGCCGAGCTTATTGGCTTGTTTATTGTGGAAATATATTATACAAAATACTGCTTATATATCATAAACCTATAAATTAACATCGATATATATATTTTGCCTTTCTCTATCAACTAGATAATGTATTGATAAATGCAAGAGAAATGACGTTCAACTGAAAGAAGACATCATTCTCCTTTCTCAATGGAGACACTTCACCTTTCTTATCCTTGAAACCGTCTTCACAAGTACTAGAAGCATCCATCGCAGAGCTGACTTCCACATTTGCTTTGGGAAAGTCCTTGGACCGAAAGGCGCAAAGAGCTTCTTTCAGCGTAGGGATGGCGTCCGAGTAGAGTTCTGAGCAGCCTTTCAAGCAATCCTTTGCGTACTTGTCGAACCGTTTGTCCTTCAAGAGCTTCAAAATGGTGGCGTTGATGTTCGTCGCGTTGGATATGGTAAGGTTAAGTGAAATGAGGACTAGTTGTTCAAGGTGATCTGGACTTTGGCCGTGGGATTTAGAGTTGGCCTCCTCAAGGCTTGCAACGCAGAAATTGTAGCTCAAATTTGGATCACCATCTGAGGCTTTCTTGCAAGAGTTTTGGATGAGTTTATTACAACCAATTGTGCTATGAAAGAGCATCAGAAAAGTGATGGTGATGGTGATGAAAATCTTGGAAAACGAAGATAAGAGAATCCTCATTTTTCCCCTTCTTTTCAGAGAAAGGGCCTTTTGAGAAACTAATGAACATGAGAGTTGCTTTGGAGAGGGAAAGGCTCTTGTTTATATATAAGCACACGTACTTAATTACGCGCGCTATCAACAATACAACATGTCAATCAAAGTTATGTAGATTATCAGAACTGATAGTGCTATTCACATACTTTTTTTCACCTCTCATAAATTTTTATTAATTTTTATTCATTGGTCCCCGGGACAAAGTCAAAGATCTTCATGGATGGAGGCATCCTCAAACTACAAAGTTACAAATTGAAAGGCTCAATAACATATATGATAATACAGTTCGATTCAGTTTAGGAATTCAAAGATCTGAATCGTCTCTATTTTAATTAATATCCTAATAATCAAAACCATATGTCGGTTAGATAAACCAAACGATTATATTAGAGATTAAGCTCTAACAAATATCTAGCAAATAATCTCCCTCAATGGAAGGGACTATATGACAATATTTTGTAAAAGATTATTATCCTATATATGTAATTATGTATAATTTAATAGGCAGGCTGGTCGTGGAATCTTATGATATAATGATGATCAGTCTTTATAGAAAGTGAACATCATTAACGTTGTGGGAAAACCAGACTTCTTGTTCTTTTTGCTTTCTGTTTTGATATGTTTTTTAGCTATGAAGATACGTGACTGTTATATTACTCTTACATATATAGCATGTGAGTTTTGGCACGCAAAGGAAAACGGATGGATATATGGGTGAATGCATGTGAGTTCTTTGTTTTTCAATAAAAATATACAACAACAAGAACAGCAAAATTTTATCCCATTAAATGGGATCCTGTATGAATCTTAGTGAACTGAGTAAGTTGGATTGTCAATTTAAATCATGTAGTTCTTATTAGTATATTTTACTGGCCCACTTCATACATAATCTCTCCTTTTAATATCTAAATCTATCTTGAACGGTTCAAATTGTCAAATTTCCCGGACTCCGAAGTAAGAAATCCACATATGATCTCAATCCGAATTCTAAAATGCCCCTCCACTCAGTTTTAACCAATATTTATATGAAGAGACGAACAGAAGAGAACATGGATGATAATAAAGGGACTTTTGAAGACGATAAGGAGGTAGTCGCGGCCGTGATAATTCCATCCGATTTTAATATTCAATATGCATGTAATGTAACAGGCTGGCTTCATCAAACTCGATTGCTTGGAAGAGGATCCTCTCCTGAGCACAAGATGGGCATCCTCCTGACCATGAAATTCAGACCGTTCAAATTTAATCTAATGGTTGCAATTATTATAACTTTTAGAGAACCCTCCTGTTTGGAGCCGTTGGATTAATTTTGAACGGCTAGGATTTCGTGGTCAGGAGGATCCCCATTCTGAGCTTAAGAAAGGATCCTCTTCCCGATTGCTTTAAGCTCTCTCTCCACGTAAGAAATTATAGTTACATATTTAGCGTAATTAGTGAATATTCACCGTAAGAAATTATAATTATGGATCATGGATATTCATCGTAAGAAATTATAATTAACACTTTAAAATTATAATTATGGATATCACCTTAAGAAATTATAATAATTTTCAATTAAGAAAAGTATAATTACATATTTAGCGACTAGTGAATATTAATAAGCAAAGCAAAATAATGTAGAGATGCTCCTTCATCCCACAACCGTACAACACACTTTTGAAAAGCATATTAAATCTTTGAATTTTTCGCATATATTTAATTGGTTAAACCTAATGGTTTAATTTAGTGGAAAGAGAACAAAAGTTTGGAATTCTCGATTCGAGTTTGAACTTTTACGAATACTTTTTTTCGCCACGTGCTTTGGTTTAGCATACCTTTTAAGAGTTAAAAGTATGATGTCGTCTTATGCAGTATCAAAGCTGTATGGAAAAAAAAATTAATCTAACAAGGTCTCGAATTTCAAAGTGTTCAAAGCAAATTCATCTCCACCGGAAATTCCCATGTGCTATGTCCTTGAATCTATCCTAAGGCTCTACCTTCATTTATTCTAAATGCTTCCAAAGATTATTTGTAATCCACTTACCAAATTATGAAAAAGTGTTTGGAATCGAACCAAATATTGAAGATATGTACGGCCAACTTACAATCAATGTGTGGTGCAATATTAATAAAATATTAATTAATTAGTTATAAATAATTATTTTTTAAAATTAATTATTATTAAGAGAAGGGAAGAGATTCCAAACTATTAAAATAATATAGGAAGGGGGAGAGTTTCGAAACCGGACGCATGCATGTAAACTCAACACCCCAGGATTTCATACATGGGATTTGTTCAAGTCAGAGTGGTTGTTCAACACTTTGGCTTCTGATGTAAGCATTTCTATTCGAATTTAATAAAATCTCTCTTTCGATAAAAAAACTCAACACCTACCCACTAAGGTATTAAAAAAAAAGAATTTCTATTTTAAGTCTCACCTACACTAATTTTATCATCTCTAATCTAAAAAAAAAATTAAAAAAAAAACCTCTCTCCCTCTCTCCTCACTCCCACATTCTCACTCACTCTCTTCCTCTCTCCTCCAATTTTAAAAACAAAATTAGAAAAATTCGCACACTGTGTAGACATATACTAGATAGTAATAAAGACTTTACTACTGATTTTGTTTTCCTCACGTTACATATGGGCCGTTCCGAAAGATTCCAAACTCCAACGGATTAGCACAAAAGTAAGGTGATATTTTGTATTGAAAAGGAATGTAATTGCGTGAAAAGCTGAAAGCAAAATGGAAACATCTGTCGGAGAAAAGTTAGAGCCGAACAAACCCAATACAGCAAATGAGAACACAAATGACCAATCATCCGACATTTGGGCTGGCCTAGTTTTGGTCCTTCTTGTACTGGTGTTATGTATGGTGTAAAAGGTCTGGGAAGTTTTTGCGGTGTGTTTGTTTGACAGTCTCAAGGGGACTGGTTTAAGTAGGATTATTATCTTACGTTTAGTGCGAGCCAGAATTGGAGACTAAGTCGGACTCGTCCCGACTACACACCTCGCTAAATGTCGATAAATAACTCTGAGCTGCAATATCTAGGATTACGAACCTTGTTACTTCGTCGTTCTTCTGTTGAGCTATAGATAAGAAAGTGGAATATAGTTTTTCATAGTTATAAATAAAAGAAAAAAAATTAGTCCCAGTTACTCCAGCATTAGTCATAGTTACTCCAGCACTGCATCAGATGTTTTATTATTCTAGTACTGCTTAGGTCATGCCAAGCCAAGTTTAGTTCCTGGAGCTAGTCAATCTATGGCAGGTCCTTCAAAATTAAGTTACTGTATGAGTGGACTAAGAACAATACACATAGTGATAAGAAAGACATGAACAACGATACCGTGATTGAATATAAAAAATATTGACAGGAAGTGATTTCACTCTTTTTAGCATCTTGCACACTCTTTGTTCAATTCTAGTCATTAATTCTATTTGACCTGTTCAATCTGATGCTAAAAAGGATGTGAAAAAATTACTTCCCTATATTGACATATTGACACTAAATATCAACAATATATTAATAATATCTACCAAATTTTGAGGATAAACCGACAACATCCACTGAGTATGAACACCTCCGGTCTTCCACTCATGCCAACAACGACAAACAATAAAAAATGGCAGTGGAGAACCCAGATCATGGGCAGACCTACATAGGTCCAAGCCTAGTTGCCTAGAGTTTGGTGAAAGATGAATTTTACAACCACCAACTTATGTAAACAAATCAACAACTAATCAGCTTTAGCGGCCAATCCTATGGCCAATATGGTGACTAGTTATAATGACCAATATGGCTAAAATAGCCTGAATGGGTCATCGGACGAAAACGTACAAGTGGTTGGGGTGCATTCTACCTTCCCTAGTGGTTCTAGTGGCCAATATGTTGAGCCGCATTTGATCTTCTTACCCGAACTTTGCACGAGATGTCAGAACAACTTAATCACCCAATCAGGGGGCAAGATTTGAACCTAAGCCTCAATGAGGTTCCAATGCAAGTGCAACCACTCACTCCATCTCTTCAACATGAGAATAACTTAGGAGGCCAAGAGTATTTGGGTAAGAAAATTGGGGGTTGGGTCAACCTTAAGATTGATTTTTCAAACCGATTTACATATTGACAACCTCACATTAGTTGAGAAAAATGAGTCCACCCAAGAGACTAGAAGCTTCGACTCAACTCAAATTGAGGCAACCACCTTAGGTGAGAACGATGAGAGCAAGTCCAGCGTTGGAGCCCTTCCCCCAGGCTATGCACTATTCAATCCACCTAATGAACAGTAACTGCCCTTAATGAATAGTAATAGCCCTGAAAATAGCATTTGCATCTCCATCGATACACTTCAAGAGCCTGGCAATAGGTAATAAAATATTAGTATTTTTTTATTTATAAAATATTAGTATTTTTTTATTTATAAAATAATACAAAATAATTTTAATTGTAATATCGGATAAGATTTTTAATCGTTCTCGTTGCGCCACGTGTCATTATCCAAAGTATTATTAAATAATACAAAATAATTTTATTTTGAATTTCGGATAAGATTTTTAATCGTTGTCGTTGCGCCACTTGTCATAAAATCCGAAAAAACAATTATTGGGGATGAATTTCCGATAAATTTTTTAATCGTATTCGTTATGCCACGTGTCATATTATCCGAAAATACAATTATTGGTGATGGATTTCTGATAAGATTATTAACCAATCACGTCGCGCCACGTGTCATAATCTGTTCACAATCTTTGATGATAGATTTCCATAAGATTTTTAACGAATGACGGCATGCCACGTGTCATAATCTGTTCACAATCTTTGAGGATAGATTTCTATCAAATTTGTAACGAATGACGGCATGCCACGTGGCATTATGTACAACCTAATCCTTTCTGAATCTTCCATATAATCCATCATCCATCCTCACAAATCTCACACTAATTTTCTCAAGATCTCTATCATTATTCATAGTTTCTGCTTCCTTCTTCACAAAAATCTGTATCATTATTCATAGTTTCTGTTTCTTTCTTAC